GGCCGCGGGCGCGGCGCGGAGCTGCGGCGCGGGAAGCGCTGATCCGTGTCAGCCTGAAGTTCACACCGGAGATAACAAATGCTTGAAACCCAGGCGCTGCTTGAGGGAGAGAAACACGTTTTCCCCCGTTAATTAAAACGTACCTGTAAATTTAAACGGGGGTGGTGGCTGTAGTGAGTTTTGAACTGGTGACAAATGTCAACAGCAGAAGGCCCGAGGTAAGACCGCGTCAGAGCCGCATGCGACGGTTCGCGTCCTCGCCCTGCGGCAGGCTGGGGGTTGGCACCGGGCAGCTTAAGTAACCCGTAAGGGGGGACTCCGGGGAAACGGGGAGAGCCCTGCTGGAAGGGAGTGGCTCCCGCCCCTCTCGGGGTGAAGCTGGGGGCTTTAAGTGCTTTTGAGTATGTGGGATTTCCCTAAACTTCTCTTCTGATTCTTTTGCCCAAGAGAAAGTACTTCAATGTACGCGCTGTGTATATTGATGTGTCCAATGTATCTGTTCCAAAACTGACAAATGAAGTGATGTCCGCCTATAGAATAAGCGTAGATTTCTTTAAAAACTTCCTTTGTCCTCCTCCCTCAGCTCTTCACTAGTCACGTCGGGGACACTGCAGGCTATTATTTGAAGTATCCAACCTGCTCTGTGAGGTATGTAATTGTTTCTGGCACATTGCGTGGGTGTGTTTTATGTTAAACACAAGAAAGCTAGTGAAAAATGGGAAGAAAACGGTGGCAGTGGGATTCCATTCCCTACTGGAGATCGATACATTTACACCAGAAACTGTGGGAAGCGCCTGGTCTTGAATCAGGCAACACTGCAATTGCACTGTAGCCCTTTTTTCTCTTCATCAAAGCGTGCGGTACGTTAGAAAGGTCCAGATTTACTAACTGGATTGCAGCTGGGAGGTTCCGCGTGGGAACTGCCAGGCCCAGCTGCCCGGGTAACTCCAATGCTGCAACATTTTCTCCTTGCAGAGGAAGCACAGAGGCAGTGACATGCCTGCCTGGGAACACACAGCCAGTTTCTTCTCAGAAAAAAAAAAAAGAAGTATCTATCTTTCTTCCTTTATCACCTCTACTGAACTTGCCAGAAATGTGTTTATCATGAAGGTGGATTTGTGTCTTTTTTCACGATAAAGACCATCTCATTCAGATAACCTGCTGAGGATTCATAGACTTTTGGACACTCCTGACTAGTCCTTTATTTAAAGTAGTGGCTAAAAAGGGCAGGTCTGCTGATCCCCGTTTGGATCCCTGGGCCATCCATTCTGACGTTGCAGAGAGATGGTTTAATTTGAATTACTGAGTATTTATGTACCAAGACAGAAACTCCGTCTCCAGTTCTGGCTTGGGTTTCCATGACCAGGTCTTTAGGACTTACCTGGTTGGCCGTTAGGTATGAAGCCTTGGTTTTTTCATAATACTTATGTACACGTGACTATAGTAGCTACTGAAGAGAGCAGATCTGTGTGCCCTTTCTGATGGGGTCAGGGTACAGTCTGCTCTTGTGAGGCATCATTAGAAAAGATGGCAAAAAAAAAAGGTCTTTTAAAACAGTATAGGTTTAGAATTCCCAAATTCCCCTTGAGGCTGGTGATGTTCAGTGGCCATTCATAATAATTTTTTATTTATCTATTTTCCAATTTTTTCTTACATTAGATTAGCTCCTGTTACATACTAATTACCCGATTGTTATTACATTATTAGATATTATTTCCAACTCGAAACAGTAATAAAGTGATTATTTCAATTATTTAAAATAGAGCTGCATGAATGATTCAAAGTGGGCAATTTATTTGATCAACTTTCCTTCTTTTGGTAACTGCAGTATATCTACAACTGTGTTCAAATTTCTTTAAATTTATTACTAGACAAATACATTGTGCATGTTTTCCTCACTGAATTGATCATAATTTTGAAACTTTGATCTGGAATGTAAGTGGCTTATTTTGGACTGTCCAAATAAATCAAAAGATATTGTGCCTGTTCTTGTAAGGCGAGTCTTGTAAGTACTGTGCAAATTTAAAATCTGGTTCCAATAAAAGGCAAATCAGTACAACACAACCGCTTAAATTCACCTTCTGTGAAAAACAGTGAAATCAAATCGTTTGAATGTGTTTAGGAAGTAAACACAAGAGTCATAAAATGACAGAAGTGATTCTTTTTAAAAAATTCAAATTAAAATTCATAACATTTTACTTATTTTTGCATTTACCTTTAACTGGTTTCAGTTAAAAGAAGAAGTGTAAAGATCACAGGGAAAGCGGAGGTGCTTAGTAGCACCTTCTTGGTGCTATGCAAGTTGTCCTTCCATTCACTTCCCAGGACAGGGAAGGAGGTGCAGAGCCGTTGCCTTGTACGCTGTGTCAGCTCAGTGAACCCCAGGCTGTGGTTTAAAGCAAGCAATCCAGTCACTAATTTTAGTTTCTGTCTGGCTCCTAAAGTGCCCGCTGGCCTATTGCAGATCCTTAGGAGTCGTATCTGATTTGAAAATGCTTCCTTTCTCTTCCTAAGTCTGTTCCAAGAAGTTCCACTGAAGTAGCAGGTACGTACAGCCCTCCTGCCCATCAGTTCCCGTCTCTTGCCATCATGCTCAACCGCTTCGTTTCATCTCTTTCATAAGCTTGTGATCAGTCACCTAAATGAAGTGGTGCTGTCAGCGTTCCCTGACTGGATGAGCGCACCGCGTACGTGCACTTGTTTCTTGGTGGTACTTACATACAGCAGCGCAATGTTAATTTGGGGTTGGTTTTTTTTAAGCCTATCTGCGTGATTTAGCATCCCAAGCGACATTTTTCCGAGTAACCTCAGAACCAGGGGGTTGGCGAGAGCCGGTATCCGAAACACTAAAATCGGAGGCGCCAAGCCGGGGAGAAGGGTGGCGGGGGGGCAGGCTGCGCTTCACCCGGGAGGGAGCGCTCCCAGCCAGCGGCCGGCCAGGGGTGCCCGGCTCCGGGGACGGCTCCAGGGGCGGGCAGAAGCTGTCCACGTACTTCCCCGGGCCTGTCATTGCCGCCGGAGAATTGCGGGACGTTAATCCTTTTGAAACGCCCTTTTTAATTCTTGCGGTTTTGTTCCCGTGAGCCCGAGTTTCTCCTCCCTTGAAGCCCACACGTTTTATGAGGTATTGTAAGTGGCTACACCTGCGGTTTTAAATGACTAACACAAATGTTATAATGGTCGCGATCAGTCAAAGAAAAAGTTCAAAGGTCAGGCTTTTGTGACTGGCGAGGAAGAGCTATGGGATAATAGCTTGTTAATGTTATTTACCTCATTCAGCTGAAAAACTTTCTGGTCGACTCTGTTGTGTCAAGACATTTACGTGGGCAATTCTGGGCATTGTCATTTGAATAGGGGTTAAATTATTCTGTTTTGTCATTAAGTGATCCTTGATTGGCAATCCACTACACAATGGGTGATCATTAGGGAAAGGCCATAAAACTGTTACACCATTTAAGAGTGAATGGTGAATGAAGCCAGATATCTCCAGGACCCGTCCCTCCCCCCCAGACTACAGCTGCCGGAGAAGCAATTTAAAGCAGAAACGTTTAGAGGCTTGGAACAATTTGGAACAATCATTTCTTTAGTATGTTTCTCTAATTTTGTTTTGAAAATATTTACACTGAAATGAACAGTGGATAAACCTGCTTATAGCTACCTAAAGCACGTCTAGTGTTGTCAGGTCTCCTGATTTGATTGTATCAGTGTAAGTGGTGCTCTATTTAAAACCCAGGCTGTTCGAGTACTGAGACCGTATCAGAACATTAGGCTTAAAAATAAAAGTGAACCGTGGCATGTTAGTGTCAGAGAAAATCATGAAAATGAGGCAAAAGCCCAAATAAAATGAGAACTTGAGAGTTGGATGACACCGAAGGAAGTGCGACTTGCTTAATGAAAATGCCTCCAAATCCAGAAGCTAACGGTGTTCAAGGCCTGAGCCGTGGCTTTTGTGGGCCTTAGGCTGATGGCTACCACTGAGATCCAGACTTAGGCTTTCCAACCCAAAGTCCTCTAGTCTGTCGACGGATGTGACGACAGGCCTTGCAGTCTACTGTAAGTCACTTAAATTGCTGTAATGCTTACGGTAGGCCGGAGCCAAGATTGTACAACATGTAGCTTAGTAAGGCGGTGGTTCTGCTGTGGTTAGACCTGTCCAAGTAGGGCTGCTGCGCTCCTCTCTCCTCTCCTCTTTCCCCAGCGTGGCCCTGGCTCCTGTCTGACCCCCTCCTGAGCCGTTTCATCCCACTGGAGGAGCAGGGAGGCACAGGACAGGAGCACGTGGCTTAGAGAGGACAACTGTCTGGTCCTGACTTGCACCAGTTAAGTCGTCATGGGACCAACCCATGAGAAAGTACTCACGCTATAGCTAATCGACGGCTTCCACCCAGCTTTACCTGACTTTACCATCCTTAGTTTTTACAGCCATGATGCTCTAGGTGACCCCTGGGGACTGGGTTGTCTAACAGCTGTCCAGATAATTCCAGCCATGCTCTTGGGAACGGTGATTTTTCCATGACTGAAAAGCCAACGTAGCTTTTAACTAAAACTGCAGAGCTAATTAACTGCTTAGTGATTTGTCCTTGCTTCTTTATATTCCAATTACGATTGCAGCTCATCTCACTTGAGAAAGAACATGCTCCGTGGTCTGCAAAGAGACTTATTTCTTCAACTACAATTAAAGATAGGATTCTTTCCTGGTAATTAAGGATACGCTGTTGCAAGCTGTGCAAGTGGGCTACAAACAGCCCACTGTCCGCTGGGGAGGCTGTGAACTGAGGCATGTTCTGTCTGTGTTTTCCTATACCCCCAGCCACGTAGTTAGACACCAAGTCTGCAAACATTTGCTCTTTCGCTTGACTTGGAAGGATCCATTGTCTTTCAGGGCCTTTGGAGAGTATCACGGTGACAAGTATATGAGATCAGATGTTGTGCTGTAAATCTGCCTTTAAAAGGGAAAAAAGAAATAGGAAAACATCCACATTTCTACATTGAAGTTCCAGCATAGCAATAGTCAAAGATGTTTTGAATAGCAACAGACAAAGGTGTTGTAATAGATTCCATGTATTTTCCAACATCTGAATTTCTCTTTAAACTTGTACTAGGTAAATGTTACTCAGTTGCCCTTTTAGAAAACAACAATTTGACTTTTTTCCCTCTTTGTATTCTGACAAATACTGGTCTTGATGAGTGTTAAGGGACTAAAAACGCTAAACATCAAAGTGCTCATTATCAACCAGCCAGCTGCACTCCTCGCTGCACCTCCTCATCACACGCAAACCTGATCTTTTCTGTGGGGACCGCCCCCCCCAGAGACACAGAACAAGTTCTTCTCTATGCTAACAGTGCACAACATTGTCAAATGATGTGTAATGATTTTATAATGTGAACTAATGCCACTAGGGACCGAACTGAGACTTCTGATTTCATTACACTCACTGCTGAGACTGGTTTGGAATATGAATTTGGGGCAAAGATAAAAGGCTACGTTCGTGTCCTTTACCCACCAACCCTCGACCAATTTTATTTGGTGTGGATCCAGACAAGGATCCTGCCCCAGGTATCTCAGGAAAAAAAACTTGTGATTTATGTATGTTGCTATAAAACACTGGGAGTGCAAATAAGTACCTTTTACTAAGTAAACCTTTGTGCCGTGATTGAAATCTCAGCATAAATCAGGAGAAACTTCCCTGCTGCGTCAGAGTCAGGCCTTTGCTGGCCAAGACAATGTTCCTAAAAGGCACTGTTTGTTAATACTGGTCTGCAGAGTTTTTGTGTTATGATAGTTAGAGGTGAGATTTTGTTCTTTCTGTTTGTTTTTAATTAAAATAAATGTACTGGTTAACCTTTAATTTAGAGATAGCTCTAGAAATTTAAAGGGACCATACATATGTACACTGTGTACTAAATTTATGGTATATTCTGTTGAACTGAATAAAGCCTTTTTGTACAATGACAAAAACGTAACCACACTAGCAAATGGTGTTCCTTTACCTATTATTATCTGTGTTACCATGAAGCCTAGGATACCTGTCTGATTTAAGTGATTTCATCTTTCCGTGTCCTAGGAGAGTGTGAAAAATAGAAAAAATGCCATAACATTTTTCTTTAGAATGTTTAATACGAGAATTAGCTTCCTTCTTCATTCTGGTGTAAGGAAAAAAACCCCAGGCTTTCAGTCAAATTCTCATCTACTGTAAGTATGTCTGGTTCCATTGTTTTCAAGACAGTTTATCCCATTTGTACCAGCAAAAAGTGTAGGCAATGCTAGTGACAGCAGGGAGATGAACACCCTATCCAGCTAATTTTCAAATGTAATCTACCTGCTAATGTGTGATACGGGAACTAAGTGTCCTTTATATACTCTTAAAGCACTTCAGATGCAGGAGGGATAGAAACTAATCCACCTTCAAAGGTAATTATATTGGGAATTACACTACTTCATGCAGTAAACTGTATTCAGTACCCTGCCCCTTTTTTCCAGCACTGGACCGTTGCCACTATTTTAGATACGAGTAAGAGTTAATCATAAGTGAATTAAATTCAATATGTGAAATGGAAAGGAGAATTCCTCATGAAGATACAAAAGCATCTAAAATATAAGTGGTGATTAAGCTTGTTTCCTCTTGTGCTTATACATACTGGACAAATTATTTACTTTCATCATCTAATATATTTAAACTGTTTTGGTTGTAGGGGTCACAGCCACTGTGAGATGGGAGGAAAGACAATACTAATCAAAAGTAAACCATGCCACTTTTTTTCTCTAGTGCCGCTAATCTTAATTGAATCAATCTCATGGCATATGTTGACAGTGAAAGATTGCTCGAACCTGGGAGGCCAAGCTGGACGGAGCTTCCAGCATAAATAAAAAAAAAATCTTCCTTAATCATTAATTTGTTCATTCACTCCCATTTGCTTCCATTCTTCAATGTCTTAGAAGATGTACCCCGTGCAACCTTCCTCTTCAGCAATCATTTCCAAGTGTTTCTCCCAATATACTCATGTGTTTTTGAAGAAACTAATTTGCCTGAGATGAATACAGCAGAGATGCTTATCTTTCTTCCTTTTTTTAAAGAGAAGTGTAGTTGGATTTTATAGAATTGAGCATTTTGTGAAACAGAATAGCATTTCTAATGAGTTGCAACAGAACTGAGTTCACTTTGGAGCTGAAATATTTCCTGTTAGAGGATATTAGGTAAATCCTACTTGGACTAGGGTGGAGTTGAGGAGTAGTTTACAAGCTATTCATGGATTCACTGTAGCCCTAGTCCTATAAAAGGAAGGCACAGAGGTGAAAACCCTTTGAAGTTGATGGAAAAACTAGAAAACTTCATGGCCTCTGGATCGGGTACCCTGCAAATATATCTGAGGGTTCCACAATGTTATAATAATAACAACCAATAAAAAAATTAGTAATATTCTATCAGATTGACTTTTCCTCCAGGATTTTACTGAGGTTGATAATGTGAGAATTCTCCTGTCCACTGTTATTTTCATTTTATTATTATTTGCTACTAAACAAGAAAAACATATGCACATCCCTGCGCCTCCTTCCCCAGTTTCCCAGCACTTTATACATATTGCATGGTAGGTTTGTCAACATTACAAAATGACTTAAATAAATTTGTTGACACACAAGATGGCGGAAGGCACTTCGTGTGTGAGCTATTATTCTGTTCTGTTCATATCTGCAAATGTTTGTGTTTGCTGAATTACGAGAGTGAAAATCTTAAAAACCTAAGACCTTAAAATGAAATGTGAAAGGGTAGAGGGATCCTTGCAGAACCAGGACCTCAAAGGCTACATTGAAGTCTCTCTAAAGATAAGGCTAGATTAGATTTATTCTTTCTAACAAATAGTTTTAATTAAAGAACATTGGTAAGTGTGAAGGAGAAAGGTTTTGATGAACAACACAGTGTTTGTATTTTATGTAATCCATTATGGGCCCATATAATTTAAAACATTGCTATATTGTGCATTAGTAAGACTCATTGTATGCAATTAAATGGT